TGCAATTTGAATGTATCACATCACCTTTGGGCAGAAGTGAAACATTTAAATTTTAATGCACATATATATTTAGTTCGCAGTACATAATTATAACACATCATCTTTGGACAGAAGTGAAATATTATGTATTTAAGGCGAGTGTCATGCAAATATCTATTTAAGGATATGCACCAAATGACAATGCTTAATAAGACTTGAAATAAATTTTACAAATGTTACACATCACCTTTGGGCAGAAGTGTATTCTAAGGTATTATTCAAGTCAAGCAAAATAAATCAATTTAACTAATCATAAAAGTAAATTTTATTTAAGATTAGTCAAATGATTTATAATTTAATGTTAACCGCAAAAGTTATAGCGGTTCGGGGCGGGGCTACAAAATTGGGGACCCATTAAGATTAATTTAATTAGAAAATCAAAGGCATATAAGGCAAGAGATTTTCCAACAAGTAAAAAAAATTTAATTTTTTTAAATGGTATTTTAGCATATCCCTTATTTAGTTTTGCTATTCTTGGTAAAATAAGTCAATAAAATAAGGAAACAGAATATATCATGCAAAAGTGAGATATGTCATACAATTTAAGGAAACACAATTATATTCCAAATCAAATACCAAAAAAAATTTATATTATTTCATCAAACTAAGGATGAATAAGAATAAATTATTCAAATTATAGTTACTGGAAAAACTGATTTTGTGCATCGTAAGTCACATAATTTGTTTTAATTTGAATGAAAACTACAATCAATCAATGTTCTCTTAAGAATATTGTATAATTTCCGAATCATGAATAATTTACTGACATTTAAAATCACAAAACAATAAATTTATGGATTAATTTTCGGAGATAAGGAAAAAAAACCCGATCTCGATTTTAAGGAATTAAAATCATTTATATTGATTCTCAAAATAGATCAAAGTTTCAGTCCTTTTTTTTTCTTGTGATGTCAATAACTCACCGGAAATAAGAGGCAAGGATTAAAACAAAAGTTGAAAAAGTATGATGCACTAACAAATCGGAAATAAGATGCGAGGGTTAAAAAAACTTGTTTTTCCCATTACAATTCCGATTTTGTGATTAACAACACTAAGAAGTTGTATTTTATTCTCTTTCGATTTTAATTCCAGGGTAGCGAAAAAGAGAGAATTAATTAATCAACATAAAGCTCTGATACCACATGTTGATCAATTCTTAAACATAAAATACAAATTAGGGATTTAATCATGTGTACCTGATAATCCTGTAAACGTAGTTAGGGATGAGGCCATGATTCTCACGCAGATCGAGTTCCCGTTTAGGGTGTATCGTTATGATGGCTAAGGTGAGGATGAGACTCACGAGAATAGAGAGGCAGAGAGAAGGCGTAAGATTGGTGTGTCGATCTCTGCCTAATACCTCTATTTATATACACCCAAGGGGAAACCCTAATTAGGTCATAAGGGTAATTACGTCCATCGAATAATTACCAATTAAATACGTAGGGTATTTATTAGGTCAATGATCAAATAATTAGATAAATGATAACTCAGGCCACATAATAAAAACGTGTCCAACAGGATCAAGTCGCTTGGGTTACATAATGTGGAGCTTTTTGATGATTGAATTGTGAGCGTCTAGCTAAGGCATCTCATGGGCTTTTTTAACGTTGTTAGGCATATATGGCAAGAAGTATAGTTATGGTAGAATTGTTATTTATGTTAGTTTCCATATTTGGTGAATCCTAATTCATGTAGGGATCCTCACCTATATAAACACCCATGTATACAATTATTCAGTTGAGTTGGATTATTAAAATCAACATGGTATCAGAGCACAAAGATCCTAACCTCTCTCTTCCTTTCCTGCGCTAATCACCGAAAAAAAATCGGCAGAGCCGGTCTCTCCACTGCCGATCACGCCGTGCACAGCCATGGCTTCTACCTCGTCTGATCCTATGGATCGTCTTCCTACGGGTCTCAAGTTGTTTGTCCGGAATCTCCAATCCCTAACCCTGGTCAAGCTTGATGACACCAATTATCCCTCTTGGTCGGCTACCGTCCGTGCAAATCTCCTCGCTCATCGTCTTCTCGGCTACGTGGATGGGTCTGAATCGTCTCCTCCGTCTTTTGTCCTTGATGAGAAGGCTGCGGCATCTGGCAAGGATCAACCGCCGGTCATGAAACCAAATCCGGCCTATGAATCCTGGAATATTATTGATGCTCAGATTCGGGCCTGTCTCCTTGCTATTGTCTCACCCACGGTTCAAACACATATTCATGTTCTTCCCACCTCGGCTGCAATCTGGAATCTTCTAGAACAACGGTACAACTCTCTTTCCCGAACTCATATTTTTCAACTGAAGGAGCGCCTACATGGTGTTACAAAAGGGATCGATTCGATGCAATCCTATTTGGACACTGTTCTCACGATTGTGTCGTCTCTCAAACTGGCTCATGAAGAAATTTCTAAACAAGATATTATTCTCTGTGTTCTTCGCGGTCTACCGGCCGACTATGCCTCCCTCAAGCAAAATATTTGCACCAATATTGCCACTGTCACATTTAATCAGGTCTCCTCTTGGTTGCTGTCTGAAGAATTGAACTTATCTTTTGAGAAGAAATTATCTCTGGGTGACTTCGGCTCTACTTCGTCCGTTGACATTCATAATGCTCTTTTCACTAATTCCGGACGAGGCAATGGTAGAGGTTGTGGCCGAGGACCACCGCGAGGCCGAGGAGGGCCTTACCGTGGCAGTCAACCCGGCGGCAGAGGAGGACGGCAGCCGCAGTATCGTGACGACACCCGCGGCAGAGGAGGTGGTCGAGGGGTGTCCGTTACCTGCCAGTTGTGTGGGAAACATGGCCATGCGGTCTGGAATTGTTGGCACCGCTATGACGAATCATACACTGGTCCACCGCAGGCATATTATGCAAATCAATCCGCTGAGTCTGGTTCGAACTAGCACCTGGACACTGGCGCAAACACTCATGTGACGTCTGATCTATCTCGGCTGAATTCTATGTCACCATATCATGGCACCAACTCCATCACAACTGCGGGAGGTAACACCTATCCTATTGACCATACAGGCTCAGGTATATTAACCACACCCCATCATAATTTTCACCTATCCAATCTCCTTCATTCTCCTCACATTAATTCCCATCTCCTTTCTGTTCACCAATTTACTAAAGATAATAACTGCTCTCTTCTTTTTACCTCTAAGGATTTTACGATTCGGGACAACCTAACCAATCAAGTCCTTTTCAAGGGCCCTTGTGAGCGCGGCCTGTACTCCATACCGGCATCATGTTCATCTCTGGTGGTCAACTCCGTCAAAGTCACTCCGTATCAATGGCACTGCCGCCTTGGTCATCCCTCAGTTCAAGTTACTCAGTCCTTATTGTCTCAATTGGGGTTTAAGTTTCAACATCTTGATCATTGTAATTCATGTTCTCTTGCTAAGTCCCATAAACTCCCCTTCCCAGTGTCAGATACTAAAACATCTGCTCCGTTTGAACTTATTCATTCCGATGTATGGGGACCCACTTCTGTACCCTCTTTTGGGGGATATCATTTTTACATTAATTTTATTGATGATTATACTAAGTTTTGTTGGTTGTACCCTCTTAAAAATAAATCTGATGCGTTTGATGCTTTTCAAAGTTTTCAATCCATGGTTTGTACTCAGTTCAATGCGCACCTTAAACTCTTTCGCACAGATAATGGGCGGGAATATGTCAATAAAAAGTTTGGGTTGTTTTTACAAAACTTGGGGATTCTTCACCAAAAATCCTGTCCATATACTCCTGAACAAAATGGTGTCGCTGAAAGAAAGCATCGTCACTTGGTCGAAACTCTTGTCACACTTCTCTGCACCGCCAATCTCCCAGCTAAATTTTGGGTCGAGGCGTTGGCTACTGCCAATTTCCTGATAAATCGCATGCCAAAAAGGTCTCTTAATCACAAATCTCCTTTTGAGTCTCTATTTCAAAAATTCCCAGACTATAGTCTTCTCCGAGTCTTTGGCTGCTTAGCCTACCCGTGTCTACGCCACGAAATCACAAATAAGTTCCAGCCCCGGTCCAAACCTTGTGTCTTTCTTGGGTACGATTCCTCCTCCAAGGGGTATCGCTGTTTTGATATTACCTCCGGTCGCATATACATATCTCGTCATGTTCAGTTCCAAGAAAGTCAATTTCCATACTCCACAGTCTCTTCCCAGACGGAGTCTCCAGTTCCGTCTGCGTCATTCCTCGGTGTCCTTCCCATTTTCCCTCTAGCGTCGCCGGGTACTCCGCCACATGCTCACAAGGCTACTCCAGACCATCCAACTCCCAACCTGTTCCCCACCCAAAACCCGCCAATCCCACCCCTTACCCACACCCAGCCCAGCTTGCCCCATAACCGAAACCCACCCAGCTCCTCACCTGTTCGAAACCAACCCACCCAGCCCGCC